CCTGTGACCCGACTTGTCACAAGAGAGAGACCCACCTGATTGGACCCCAGACCTAAAACTCACTCTGTCAGGTTCGCACCTGTGACCATGCCCAAAAGGGCGTGGCCAGCGCTCCAGGTGAGGGCGGGGTGGCTATCGCACTACACCTACACCACCAGGAGTGGGTTGAAAATTGATTATTTTCTATCTCTTATTTACGTGATGCCAGAAATTATTTAAAAGACAAACTTGTAAAAAATACAACAGTGTCAAGCATGGTGGTGCAATCTCATCATCACTTCCCTTTCAGAACAAAAATGTAAGATCCCTTTGAGCCACGAGGGGGCAGTGTCTGATCACGGGTGACGGAAGATCTCTGACCTAGGCAAACATTGCACGGGAATCTTCGTGGACGCTATGCTGTTAGGAAATAGAGGACTCATAAAGTGTTATTCTCTTCTTCCATGTCACTAATAAACACGCACTCCTTATAGATGATAAGTTTTATAGCGGGACTAAAATCTATTAAAGCGGAATATGCCCATACTCAGAGCTCTGCAATGAGACTTGTCTGACAGAACTAATCCCTCTTCCTTGGTCATTTGTCATTTCCATCACTTGCCTATAGGTCCCAGCAAGTACTCATAATGGGTACAAAGGAGTTTTCTGGTTTCTCTTCTGCATTTATGCTGTTCGAGCACTTCCACCCGCTGCTTCCTTCCTAGTGAATAGCCTTGTTGAGCCTCATCTTAAGTTATTCAAACAAACGAGAGGCAATTACCTTTTTTTTTCTTTTTTTTTTTTTCTTTTTGCTTTGCAGTTAGGAAGCAGAGTTGCTCATGGCTGACTGGCACAGTAGAAGTCCTCGCTCACTACTAGCCAGAGGGAGCAGGCCCTGGCACAGAGCCATTGCTTGACAAAACTCAATGAATCAGTGCTTTCCAGGGTGCTTTCAAGACACCTAAGGGTGTGATTGCTGTCAGAGGACTAGGACATGGGGACAGCACTGAAGGCCCTAGTCAGCTCAGAGAAGAGGGTCCCACAGCCTCAGTGACACCCTTTCTGCAAAAATCTTGTGGGAGGGACCAGACACTGTTCCAAGAAGCAAAACGGCATAAAAGTTAGAAGGAAATGACCCAAGCTTTGCTTCCTGGTTATTCAATCAACAGCTATTCACTAAACAGCAGGCATGAGACACAAGGAAAGCAATGTAAAACATAGATTCCTTATCCTGAACTAGGATTATTTTTAAAATAATAATATTTTAATCTTGCTGCGGCAGAGTTCACTGAATAGTCCCTGGTCACCAAGTACCAGACGTGGATGGTTACAAGGGTGTATATGAAAGGTACTGAGCTTGGGGGCACACATGTGCAATCTCAGACTAGGAGACCGAGGCAGAATCTTGACTTCCAGACCACCTGAGGCCACATGGTAAGACCCTGTCTCCTCTCAAAAAGGAGGGAGGGGCTGTTATTTAATAATTTTCTCAGTTACTTTTAATGGGGCCACTTACATTATGTTAAATGGAAGATATGAATAAGCCATAATGCCTGGCAGACCTGTCATTGCTTTTAGCAGCCTTGTGTGCATTCGTGCCTGTGTGTGTGTGTGTGTGTGTGTGTGTGTGTGTGTGTGTGTGTGAGAGCATGTGCACACATTCACATGCACACATGGGCACTCATATGTGCTGTGCTGTGTTTTACTACATTGAAGATGAATGAAATTGCTGGAGGACAGGTAGTTAATGAGAAGATAGACATTTGAGTTCTTTAGAGGCACAGAACCCAGAGCAGTAGTAATAAAAGGTATTTGCTAGAACATCTTGCAAACATTACCCACAACAGCTGTTTGAGTCTGAGGACCCCTACTTCAGACCACAAGCTGAATGGAACTTCCAGTCTGGTGGTAAAGACCTCAAAGATTTTCAGAAAACCACTGGTCTTCAGCCGAGGTGAAAGGCTGAAGGTGCTGGGTTCTAATGTCAGCCAAGGGTGGTGACCGCAGCATCAGTGATGGTTTAAGTGTTCTCCCCAGTGAGGTGCAAGGCAGGCATGTGAACAAGAACAGCACTGCTCCCTGCCCCCACTAAACGGCTCTACATCTGCAATTCCAACAGAAGGTGCCACCCACTCTGGGAAAGGGTGCTCTTCCTTTAGTTAGCCCTCTTGAAAGTGTCCCTGCATGCCTCTCAGGTGAGTCCTGGTCCTGCTGAGCTGACAATTAAGATTAACCAAAATCCATGCCTAGATAGATAAATGATACATGATAGACAGGCAAATGATTGGTTCATAGAAAGATAGATAGATAAATAGACAGACAGATAGATAGGCTGACAAATAGACAAACAGAAAGATGCTAGAGTCTCTAATGTGAGTGTAATAATAGACAGTGGAGTCTCCAATGTGAGCGTAAGGATAGGGAGAAGAGCAATGAAAAGGTGCCATTTATCGGCTGACAAAATGCCTCAGAGGATAAGGTTTGATCTTCAGAACCAAAATGGTAAAAGGAAATGCACTCCACAAAATTATTCTCTGACTTCCACATAATCACAACACAATAATAGTAATAGTAATAGTAATGGTAATAGTAATAGTAATGATATCATTATTATAGTAGGGTGACATTTGAAGTATGCCATGTCCTTGCTTGGCTCCAGGAATTGACGTAACTGGGGTTGTGAGGGAATGAAGCAAGGACAGACACACAGACACAGAAAAACTAGAGTTGGCTGGACTATACTCTCTTATGGAGGAACTGAAGCACCCTAGAAGCTCAGTGAATTTATTATACACATCGGAACAGGAAGGAAGGGAGGAAGTGTTGTTGTACACAGATTAAGAAGGAAGCAGACTTAGCTAATATGGTAGAAACAGTCTCTGAAGCAGCGCCATCTTCAGACCATAAACGTGGGGGAAGGGCTATGGCAAACATTTTCCATCAACATTGTCACTCAGACATGAGAAAGGCTTTACCATCCTTCTGAGTGTCACCCTGGGACACTCCAATAGGGCTGAGGCATCATGTCCTTGACAGGGCAATAACCGTGTCAACAATACTCATTGACTCAGGACTTCATTAGCTCCCTACAGAGGAATATCTCAAAAGTGTCTTCCAGCTGGACTCCTGGATGAAGGGTCTTCCAGGAAGAAGGAACTTAATAAGCACAGCTCAGAGGCAGGAACAGGCCTGCTGGTCAGTCACAACAGCAGGGGGCAGAAACTGAGTGTTTTGTGATCCTAGGAAGGGCTTCTGCCTTACACAATGGAGCACTGGACATATCAGAGAAGACTAGGACAGTCACACGTGTGCAGTAAAAAAGGTATTTCAATTGCTGAGGAGGATAATTTATAGTAGAACACAGTTACAGCTAAAACAACAACCAACATCATAAAAGGAGGTGGATAAAGACTTATTTAGAATACAGAGCCAAGAAACATTGTGACTGAGAGGTATTAAGGATAAGGAAATGCATCGAGGACAATTATTTCTTATGGGGTGTGCTTAATTCCCACAGGTCCTGGCAGGATGTGTTCACCGCTGCTTAATTCCTACAAGTCCTGGTGTTCTCCGCACTCTGCTGCTGACATTCGTTAAGAGGAGCTGTGAGAGGATGAACATGAGAGATTCAGCAGCTCAGCTTTAACTGTGTTGAATTCAGCACATGTGAAACATCTCTTGGAGATGACCCACTTGCAGAAATCTCAGGAAGCCGGAAAGTGTTTTCTGGAAACGTCTGCGCTAATCTGAATCTAAAAGTAATAGCATCTGCAGAGATGCAGGAAGGGCAATGAGGGGATGGTTGGGAGTGGAGGGCACTTGAAAGAACATCCTTCCTTGCTTGTTTAAAGACAGGGTTTCATTATGGTCCCCATACTGGCATGGAACTAGCAATCCTCCTGACCCAATCTTCAGGATGCTGGAATTTTGATGTTTGCACCACTGTGCCTGGCTCTAAATCATTTCATTTCTACAGTTCCTTTACTGTTTACTGTACGGGGGTTGAAATCCAAAGCCTTACACATGCTAGGCAAACACCCCACCATTGCGCTACAGCACTGGCCCCTGTTCTTCTAGTGTTTGTGTGAGGAGAAGGGCAGCATGTCGTGGCACATGTGTGGACAACAGCAGATTACCTCGGGTGTTGGCCCTTGACTTCCACATTATTTTGAGCCTGAGTTTCTCTTGTTCACCACCACCTACACCAGGCTAACTATCCTGAATTCCAGGAATTCTCCTGTCTCCATTTCCCATACTCCCTGTTCCCATAGAAGTGTGGGGACTGCAAACCCATGCATTACCGTGTCAGACTTTTATGTGGGTTCTGGGAATCCTAACTTAGGTCATCCGTTTCCTCAGCAAGTTGGAAACACAGACCATCTCCCCAGCCCTGCTCTTGTATTCTTAAGAGAGTTGAAGCATTGTGAGGACACTATATGGGGACCAGTCTGAGTGAAACAAATTGTGTGTAGTATAAAGTGTGATGTTTACAGGCAGGATGAATCCAGAGTCAAAACGAAAATAGAAAGATCCTATAGTGATAGGATGTAACAAGTGGTTAAGAGACCAGAAAACCTAGATGAGGGAGACAACTGGGAGGTTGGCATACTTTTTAGAGTGAAGACTGTAAGAGGGTGCTAGCTCCCTTCACAAAATAAAAGGAAGAGCTCCCCCCAAAGCAGCACCCTGTTATAGAGAAGCCATCCCGTAGTGACGCTGATTAAGGTTTCCTACATGCTAGCACTGTGCTATCTTTCAGTCCATAGTTCTGTGCTTTACACACTTCATTGGATTTCCCTGGAACTGTATGAAATGATGTCATTCTTACTGCCATCTACAGATGTGGAAATGGGTAAGCAGATATCCAATAATGTGCTAAAGGTACTCAGCCAGCAAGTAGTGGAAGTCCGTGCAGCCTGCATCTTCCATCACTTCCCTACATGGCCTTCCTCCCAAGTCCTTGGCTCCCCCAACCCTGGACCTGCCCTCAGAGCTCAGTCATCTGCATCTTTTCTGTCACCACCTGGGACAGGATCATGCTGCCCCCAGGGATGACCTGCTCTGTCCTCTTGGCAGTGGTGACAAAGGCAACACTTGCATTAAGTCTTTCCAAGCATCAGGTGGAAACCAGGAAGAGTGCTCAGAAAACCAGCCCAGCTTACAAAACACAAGTCTCTGCTCTTTGTAGAATTTTCTGGTTCTTTGTGTTCTCCTCAGAACATTCACTCTTCCCTATGAGCTCTACATCTACCATCTAAGATCCTCACTTTCCAGCCTGACCTGTCTGTTAAAATCATCTTTAAAACATGCACTAAGGAAACAGTAGGGATACCTGCACACCCATATTCATCGTGCCACCTTCCACAATAGCCAAAGAACAGAACCAGCCTAGCTGCCTGTCAATGGATACATAAATTAAAAGGATCGGATCGAGACACACAATGGAGTTTTATCCATCCATAAAGAGTGGAATTGCATCAATTTGTAGGAAGTTAAACAAGTCAGACTCAGAAATAGAAATCGTCCATGTTTTCTTTCATATGTGGGCTCTAGATTTAAAATGTTAAAAAAATGGATGAAAACAAAAGGCATTTACCATTTCAAAAATGGGAATTGTTTCTCACAAGGAGGTGGGTGGCAGATCAATGCATTGGGGATCAATAGGAAAGAAGGGGCCTTGACAAGACTCAGACGGGTGGCTGGTATTACACAGATGACACAAAACATCCAAGGGCAGGTGGAAGACAGCTAATCATTTCAAGAAAGTCAGAGAAGTTGGTGGGGAGAACTGATTCAAGGGGTGAAAGTGAAGCTTTTTGGTTTTTGGTTTTTGGGTTTTTGCCTATGCTGTTCTAGAGGCGAAGGAAGAAAAAGCCAGTGCAATGACTGATGGCAGCTGAACTCCTCCAGCTGCAGGGTGACACCAGAGTCTCAGAGACAGATACATAAGTGAGAATGACAGACAATTGATAAGTGCTCTAAGCTTTAAGAGAAGAAAACCAAAAGCCTGGCAGCACAGCTCATATCTGTGTGAGTAAAACAAAGGACAAAAGAACTTGGTAATAAGTTGTTGAGAGATAGAAGGAGAACAGTGTAGGGACGAGAAAGAAGGGGACTCTGCAGCACACAGCAGCAGTGAAAGATTCAGAAAAGAAAGTAGGCAACTTAAAGGTAGAGATGCCACAATTAAAGCAGAAGACAACCAGCAGACCAAGAGAGACACCTTCCTTCATCCACATGGGCTATTATAGAGAAAGGCCTTAGACGGAGCAACTTTCAATCTCGATCTTCTACTGCCCACAGCTCAGGAGGCTGGAAAGGCCATGGCCCAGGTCCCTGACTCAGTGTCTGAGGAGTTGGTGAATACACTCTCCAAAGCCTCTTAGAATGGGTAAATCTCATTCATGAAGGTGCAGCCTTCGTGACCAACCATTTCCTCTGCCCCTACTCCTGGATACATTTGCCTCGGGGCTACTTTTCAACATAAAAATTTTACAAGGACACAAACATCCAGACCACAGCACATCCAAACTACAAATGACAGATTAATTCAAACCAATATGACAGAAATATGCTATAGAGGCTGGGGAAATGGCCTGGTGGGTAAAGGACTTGCTCAAGAATGGGGACCTGAGTTCAGATTCCCAGGATCCATGTAAACCTGGCTGGGGATAGAAGGCAGAGAGGGGAAAATTACCAGAAGCTCACAGGCCAGCCAGCCTATGGAACACAGCAGTGAAACAAGAGGTATTGTCTTAAGGAAAGTGAGACCTGACTCCCAAGGTTGTCCTCTTGGCTACATATGTGTCATAACACATGTGCACGTACACACAGGGATGGAGATAGACACACGGATAAAGAGAATCCACCATGGCCTTGCCGGTAAAGTGTTTGCCATGAGAACCAGGCCTCAGTGCTGTGAAAAAGCTGGGTGTGACAGGATGCCCTGGTAATGGAGGCAGAGGCAAGCAGAATCCCCCCGGCTTGTTGGCCCATCAGTTGCCAAATCATTGACCAGGTTCATTAAGAGACCCTGTTTCAAAATACAAGGTGGAAAATGACTAAATAAGATCCCCAAAGTCAACCTCTGTCCCCCACATGTACATGCACCTTCATGTACCCATTCATACACATGAACAAGCTCACATATGTACACATCCACATACAAAATTATATACATTGCATGTAGCAGCCAAACAGAAGATGCTGTCTCAAAAAGATAAGTAAGAATTGACAGCTAAAGTTGTCTCGTGACCTCCACATGTGTGCCATTGCACTAATTAAAAAAAATAAAAAATTAAAACCTGTCAGGAATGTTGATACTACCCATGGTTTCTAGAACATGGGAGACAGGCTCTTTCGTATATTGTGTGTGAGAGTACAGACAGAATTGCTTGAATCTTTTTTAACAGTCATATGAAGCTATATAATACACATAAATTTTAAAATATACATAGCCTTGGTACAGTGACATTATGACCTTGAAAGTCTATCATATAGAAATAAAGGCTGCAATATACTTCAAAATACTTGTGTTAGGAGAAAAGAATTGGAAAAATTGTATACAGATAGAAAAATGAGTATATCCATACTATGACATAATGCATATACATTAAAAATAATACATGTGTTTTATCCCAAGGGATGAACTGTAATTTTAAAGCAAAACACAAATTGCAAAGTAATATTTACTTGTATTTATGCTGATTCTTTTTCTGTAGAAGGCAAGGGGGAGTATTCATGTTTATGCATGAACAGTTAACCATACTGGTGTAAGCTCAGAGAGAAGCATGAAACATACACATCTAATTATTAGCTCATATGACTGGGGTGGGGTGAGATCAGAAGAGAAGGCAACTTAATCAAGTTTTTATGCACTTCAGGAAATAGTTTGTTCTGTTGCTGCATATACAGTGTATGCAGTTTTTATTTATTTTTTAAGCAATCCAAATACATAGTCCTAAGAAGAGACAGAAAGTATCAGAGTCTAAAATTTTCCTGAAGAATGAACATGAAGAGAAATCCACTGGATGTAAGCATAACAATGTTTTTAGGGGATGGGAGGAGGGCAATGGGGATACAGAAGGAATCTAGTCTCAATGAATTCCAAAGAAATGAACAACAGATGAGAAAAACATTCTTGCAGACCTAGCAAAGAAACAGGTTGATCATCTTTGTTCATCTTGTTTGAATATCGTTGTTCACTGTACAAACATGCCGAGGGGCGTGTTTGTGTATGTAGTTAATGTATGTACTACTTGGACAGATTGTGTGCAAGTGTGCATGCCTGTGCACAAATACCTGTTTGTGTGTGCACATGGAAGCCACAGGAACACATCAGGTATTATCTGTCGCTCTGTGACTTCTTCCTTTGAGATAGGGTCTCTCACTGAACCTAGATGGCGCTAGGTTTTGGCTAGGCTGATAGCCAACAAGCCCTGGTGATCCTGCTGTCCCTGTCTACCCTCCCCATCCCATCACTATGGTTACAGGCAAACAGACCATTCCTGGCATCTTATGTATGTGCTGGGAAACTGAACTCAGGCCTGCATGCTTGCTCAGCAACTGCTCTTACCCACTGATACATTTCACTAACCTACAACGCTTTGTTTTACCATTTAAACATAGTACTATCCTATTTAGGAG